CAGGGACACCTCTCACCAGACCAGGTTGCTCCAAGCCCCATCCAACCTGCCCTTGAACACCTATCACCTCTCTGGGTACTCCAGGGAGACCTTAGAGCACCTTCCAGTGCCTGAAGGGGCTCCAGGAGAGCTGAGGAGGGGCTTGGGACAAGGGCAGGGAGGGATGGGATGAGGGGGATGGATTAAAACTGGAAGAGGGAAGATTGAGGTTGGACATGAGGAGGGAATTCTTTGGTGTGAGGGTGGTGAGAGCCTGGCCCAGGTTGCCCAGGGAAGCTGTGGCTGCCCCATCCCTGGCAGTGTTGAAGGGCAGGTTGGATGGGGCTTGGAGCAGCCTGGGCTGGTGGGAGGTGTCCCTGCCCATGCAGGGGGTTGGGACTGGATGGGCTTTAAGGTCCCTTCCCACCCAAACCGGGCTGGGATTCAAAGTCCTCCTATCATGACCAACAGTGGTTAAACCAGCTACTGGTCACTACCCTAGGACGTTGCCCACAACACCTGCCCTGACCATGCCCTCCTGCCCCTCACACACACGGTGGGGGCAGGACACCAGGCAGCAGTGCCAGCAGCAGCAGAAACCCTGCCAGGCCCCCTCCCTGAGGGCTCCATCCTGCTCTGAATTCACCACCACACGCTCTGGTTTCCAAGTGGCCAGAGGAGCCTCAAGTTCTCATTAGAGAACCTGGTACAAAAGCTTCTCCTCCGAGCACGTTACGGCTCCTGCTCCTCCTGATGGAGCAGCACAGCAGTAATTAACATTAATGACATACCTGAGGAGAGGCACAGCCCAGAGCAACGGGTAATTGCAGCCAAGAGCCAGTTGGTGAGGGAACCTACCCATCACTGTCAAGGCATGGTGTGCAGACCATCCTTGGAGAGACCTGGAGAGCAGCCAGGACCTGGGCAAAACTCCACAGCCCCAGCAAAGGCTCCAAGATGGATCAGAAAGATGATTTGGAGACACAGGGGGAGGTGACTCTAGCTTGGCTCTCTCCAAATTCCACCTCCCCCCTCCACACTCTTCCCTGTTCCACAGGTACCAGGTGGGTCTCTACGTTTTCGGACACAGCCCAGGCTGGAGAAGACAAGGCTGAAGATGGATTGTTTGGACAGGTTGGTAGCTTCCTGCTGCAGTCACCTGCCCTGCAAACATCCATCTCTTTGCTCAGTCCCAAGGCCAAGAGCACACCTGCCTTGCCAGGCTCCAGGAACTTCCCTGAGAAGCTCCAGGAACACCAGGCATCTCCTGGTGCTGCTCGATCAGATCCAGCCCATGCAGAACATCCCTTCATTGATCCACCTGGTAGAAACGTTGATTGGGGTTGGTACAAGGGGAAACATCATGGTCAGAAAGGTTGCAGAATAAATGAGCCATCACTTGGTAGCACTTAAGCCCATCACAGATGATGAACTGAGGGACAGCCAGACCACGGGCTGCTCGGTGTGGTGGGGACACAGGAGAAGACCTCTGGTCCTGGGTTTCTGTGAGTCTGAGACTCAGGCTTTCACCTCTCTGCCCTAGGCAGGATTCTGCAGAAGGCTTGGCCAAGGGCCACCCTGTTCTCAGGGCTTCCTCTGTTACATGGGATGGAGAAAATCCAAGCCCAGCACAGAGCAAGAGTGAGGTCAGAGCGAGTTCAGGAGCTGGAGATAACAGCAGGGACAGGGAAGAGAAGCAAATGGCCACGTGCCCTATCACCAGATCAGATGTGAGCTTCACGACTGACTTCATCCATCCAGGATATCCTCATCCTGAGCTTGAAAACCAGCCCCAAGCCCCCCAGCCTCCGCGTCAAAGCTGAAGGCAAGGAAGGTGACCACCCCAAGGCTTTGGGCAAAAGCCTTTTCCAGCAGAACACTCATCCCCACCAGC